GGCATAACAAAACATGCAGGGAAATTTTCTTTCCAAATGCTTGCCAATTATTTCCATTTCAACGCGAAACAAAATTAGTTCCGCTCAACTACCAATATGCAGAATAGTTGCTCATTAAAAACTTGTAATTCATGTGGGAGGGGGTGGGTTTCATGAGCGTGGTCTGTCCGTTGTTTTTTTTTTCTTTGCTTGTTAAATAAATTAAAAACAAAATTTGTTTATGTTTCTCCAAGTCCAAAAAAATGCGGTCAAGCGAAGCCGAGTCGATGTAAGTGGGTCAAGTAAAAGTTAAAGCCACCATATTCTTGAGAATCTTTTGTCTTCAAGTACTTTTTTGAAAAGTGAGAAGAATGTCATGACAAGAGCAAATGCGTGTTGATTGTTGTTTGACATGGAGATTTTGTTTTGAATTGTTTCCGGGTGGCTAAAGTGACAGTCGGTGTAGAAGGGAGAAGAATCAACAGATAAAATGGACTTTTTTAAGTACTAATAAACCAGACCTTATTTCAAGGATCAGACATCGGACAATATTTTAAGGATTTTGCAAACGAATTCTCGAATTTTTTAAATATTTGCGAAATACTTTTTTTTTAATTTTTAAGAACCAATTTTTATACCCTCCACCTTGGAAAGGAGGGTTTATTAACTTTGTCATTCCGTTTGTAACATCCTTAAATATTCGTCGTAGACCCCATAAAGTGTATATATTCATAATCAGCATAAAATTCTTAGTCGATTTAACGATGTCCGTCTGTCTGTCTGTCCGTCTGAGATATATCGGTCCACATTCTGGTATAGTCCCCATATAACGGTACCTACCGATATTCGGTATTTTGATGATGTATGCCACATTTTTTCACGGTTTTGTCTGAAAATTGGTATTTGTGGGTCATAACGGGTCCCTGTGCGTGTGGCGAAACATTGTTATTATAGGTCCACGTTTTGGTATAGCCCCCATATAACGGTACCTCCCGATATTCGATATTTTAATGGTTTTTGCCACATTTCTTCTAATGTTTTCTTTACCCTAAGGTGGAGGGTATTAAAAGTTTGGCCCGGCCGAACTTAATTTTTATACCCTACAACACTATGCGTTGGGGGTATTATAAGTTTGATTGGGCCAAAAATTATGTAACACCTCGAAATATTGGTTTCCCATATAGGAAATTATATATGGATCTTCCTAGCTCGCCGAGCTGAGTCGATCTAGCTATGTATGTCCGTCCGTCCGTCTGTCCATGTTAATTTGTAATCACTCTACAGGTCGCAATTATGATCCGATCTTCACGAAATTTAAAATGGAGGTGGGGTTAGGGTCAGAATAGAAGCCTATTTCTTTTGGAGATGATTGCCAAATGTTTAGGGGTTGAAATGGACCAAATACTGAAAAAATATCGGATTTTGCAGTAGCTATACAGGTCGCAATTATAGACCAATCGACGCGGAATTTCGTATGTAGCTAGAGTTTAGGGCGGGGAAGAAGCCTACCAATTAGAGTGGTCATCGGATAATATTTAGCGGGTAAAATAGATCATTAAACCGCGAATATTTTAAATCCCGGCGAAATCACAAAGCCCTGACAAGGTTACTTCTGACCTTTACATTGATGTTAACATCCAACAAATCGGATATATAGCAAAATATGTGCGATATATATGTCTATCAAAGAAGATATGCTTGAAAGATCTCTTGTATATCGAGAACGGCTGCACTGATTTCGACATTTCTCATTAATTCTGAATGGCCTCTTGGCAAGAAAGAAAAAACGTCTAAAAAATCGCTTAAAAATATCTCTCTAAAGATGAAAATATTGATTTTTTAAAATTTTCTCATATTTTTTCAATTTTGTCATATTTTTGGCATATTTTCATTTTGAATTAAACATTTGGTAATATTTCTACAGCTAACAAAACTAAGTAGTTGGGATATCAGGATATCATATACAGATCGCATTTATGGCCCGATCCTTACGAAATTTTGCATGGGTATAAGATGAGGGTCAGAATAGAAGCCTGGACCAAAAAACTGCAAAATTGTCAGCAGGTCGTAATTATCGCCCGATCCTCACGCACATTTGAATGGGGGTTACCGGACATTGCAAAAGCCAATCAGTTTTGGATGGCCATCCAAAAATATTCAATGTGTGAAGGAATTTGCCAACTTTTGTAGACAAAATACGAAAATGTCCATTCCAGTGACTTTTTAGAGAATTCACAGATACAGGAAAGACGCACTTCTGACTATTTCGTTAACGCTGATTTCGTTGAAGAATATAGTCAAATGTCTGTATCTCATATAGATGCGTTTCAGTCAAAAACCAATAATAAATATTAATCTTTTGCCAATTCTGAGAGATTATAGGTCTTTGGGAAATATTGGTTCCAGATCTAGGAAGACCATTTACGTGCAACATCTGCCAATAAATTGGAAATGAGCAAATTAGTTTAAGTTGTTATTATTCGAAAATTAGAGAACGAAACCTGATGGTTTACTGTTATAATTTGTCACAATATCTTTTGGAATTCTTTCGAGTATCTCGCCTATATAAACAGTATCGTTTATTATAGTGTTGTAGGGTATTCAACGGTCGGCCCCGCTCGACTGTAGCCTTTGCTTACTTGTTTTACATGTTTTTTTTTTAATTTTTTATTTAATTTAATTTTTGTTCTTTTTTTTTTTTTTTTTTTGAAAAAATTGTATTATTTACTATTGGTTAATTTGATTGATTGATTGACTTAACGACTCATCAACCCCCAGACGAAACGGCTGAAGCTATAATCTTGAAATCTTGGGTTGGGCCCACCCTTGGTCCGAAGGGGTCATACAATGCTGGGGGAAATTCATACTAAAAAAGTACTAATATGGTACATTTTGTATTTATTTAGGGAAGCTAGGGAAGTAGAGCTATAATTTTTGGAATGAGGGTCCGTGATGCATCAGCGTATGATAGACAGGGTTTTCGTGGTTTTCTGAAAAGTTGAAAATTTGGAAAATTTAGTGGATTTTTTTCGGGTATAAAAATAGATTTCGGGAAAACTCAATATCAATCACTCTTTATGTGGGGGAGGTACCACAAGGAGTAGACCCATATATCCCATCTTCACACCAGATCTTGTGTTGTTAGAAATATTGTGTCGTGTCGAGTTTAAAAGGAACCGTATGCCCATTTGGCGTTTTATGAGCTTTATTGTTTTTTTTTTTCAAAATTTGGACCCGTTGGGGGGGGGGGAGTACTAGAAATAGTGCTACATTCTATACGTTCTTCATACGAGATCTTGGGGTGGTAGAAAAATTGAGATTTACAAAAATTTAAGATATTCGAATTCTAATTCGAATCTCACCCTATGTGGGGGAGATACCAGAAGGAGTGGTCCGACATATTCCATCTTCCCACTTAGTTTTGTGTCGATAGAAATATTGGAAATATAGGGTATAAAAAATATGGAAGGGTGTGGAAAGTCTATTATTATTATACCCTCCACCATAGTATGGAGGGTATATTATGTTTGTCATTCCGTTTATAACACCTCGAAATATACATTTTAGACCCCACAAAGTATATATAATCTGGATCAACATAAAATTCTATGTCGATTTAGCGATGTCCGTCCGTCTATCCGTCTGTCCGTCTGTGGAAATCGCTCTTGCTTCCGAACGAAATGAAGTAGGTTGATCAAATTTTACTCAAATATGTATTATGTCTGCTGGACTTTTGGTATTGAAAATGGACCATGTAGGTCCACGTTTTGGTATAACCCAGATATAATGGTACCTCCCGATGTTCGGTATCTCGGTGATTTAAGCGACATTATTCTCCGAAATTATTTCACATTTGGTATTTGAACTTCGTAACGGATGCTACAGCCAATGACAGAAAATTGTCTGGTCAAGTTCACGTCTTCATATAGCTCCCATATAATAGTACCTCCCGAAATTCGGTACTTTGGTGATTTCAGCGAAATTGTTTCAAATTTGGTATTAGAAATTCGTAATGGGTACTGATATGACAGAAAATTGTCTGTGCAAGTTCACGTCTTCATATAGCCCCCATATAATAGTACCTCCCGATATTCGGTTCTTTGTTGATTTTAGCGACATTATTTACCGGAATTGTTTCAAATTTGGTGTTTGAAGTTCGTAATGGATACTACAGCCTATGACAGAAAGTTGTCGGTGCAGGTCTAGGTCTTCGTATAGCCCCAATATAACTGTACCTCCCTATATTCGGAATTTTGATGATTTTAGCGACATTATTTACAGGAATTATTTGAAATTTTATGCTTGAAGTTCGTAATGGATGCTACAGCCTATGCCAGAAAATTGTCTGTGCAGGCTTATGACAAAAGTTGCGTATGCAGGTCCACGTAAAGACCCTAAAATACGACTAAATTCGACATTTTTAAGATTTTAACAGAATTTTTAATGGATTTTAATTTTTTGAAAATTGCCAAATTTGTCCGGCCGAACTTACAGCTTTTTTACTTGATTTTAATATTCTTTTAAGAATTTTTGGTATTTTTAAAATTTTAACAGAATTTTTTAAGGATTTTATTTTTTGAAAATTTCCAAATTCGATCCAAATGGTGGAGGGTATTCAATGTTCGGACTTTGTTTTTTTTTTTTTTTTGAGATGGTTTTAGCTTTATTATTCACCGAATTTTTTTATTCAAGTTTCGTATTTGAAAATTGTAATGGTTTATGACAAAAGTTGCCTATGCAAGTCACACGTCGTCGTATAGACCCTAGTACATTCGTTATTTTTAAGATTTTAACAGAATTTTTAACGGATTTTATTTTATTTTATTTTTTTTTTTTGGAAATTCAAAAGATCGGCCCGGCCGAACTTACTGCTCTCTTACTTATTATTATAATAATCTTTGTTATAAATATTTTGCAATCGATTTCATTTTTAAAAAGTTATTTATTGTTGTTATTTTAATATCAACCATTTCAATTTCTTTCCATTGAAATTAATTATTTTTATTTTCCGTTTTTTCCAGACATAATTTATGATCGAATGACAGAAATTGACTTTATATTGCAAAAACACAGTTGATTTGATTCCAACTTTGTGCTTCCAAGTGACAACATAGCCAAGACAGAGATAACGACACATTTTGGCCGCATTCCCAAATTAATTAACCCCCTCCACCCCTCGAAACGTCAAACAGTGTTGAATTACCAACTACTCTGTGAGGGACTACAAGCATCAGCAACAAAGGCAAACGCATTGTTTTGGATGCTGATGGTGGTGTCTATGGTCTATTGTGGACTGGACAAGATTTTCGCAGACATAAAACAAAGCCAACCAAATTTCATCAACATTATCTGGAACTTGATTGCCAATAGCGTTACAGAAAGGTAAGCAACAAACAAACAAAAAAAAAAAAACTTGACTTAATTTTTGAAAAAAAAAGAAAACAATGCGAATTTAACATCAGCTAAATTTAAATGGGGAGAGATTTGCCTCCACTCTCTCTCTCTCTCTCCCTCTTTTCTTTCTTTGTAACGGAAATAATGCGAGCAAGTTTCCAAAATCAGACGAAGCCTAAGCCAACAAAATAATGCGTGTAACTTGTCCCCTACGAATTTATGAATGAGTGCGAATATCGAAGCGGACAGGTTTTCCAAGCGTCTCGTCGATGAGTGAAAGCCGGAATTTTACACGCATTGAAAAAAACAACAACAAAACAAAAACAAACAAAATTTGCAAAAGCAAAACACAAACAAACATGTTGGCCAATAAGCCCCAAGTGCATGGGTTGTGAATGTGGGGGGATTGTTGTTGTAACGGTGAGCATTAAACGCCAACGCATTCAGGTGAGATAGCATACTCTCTCAGTGATATAAAGAGGGAGTTGCCATGTTGTTGGAAATGGGTATTCGTGGATTTTTTTTTAAAGAATATTTTTTCATCCAACGTCAGACAATTTTATCAAACCTTTAAAACTTGGATTTTTCAAAGAAAATGTTTTCTTCCAACATCAAACCAATCAAACGCGGATTTTTCAAAGAATATGTTTTCATCCAACATCAGACAAACCAAATGTGGATTTTTCAAAGAATATTTTTTCATCCAACATCAGACCAACCAAACGTGGATTTTTCAGAGAATATTTTTTCATCGACCCACAGACCATTCAGACGTAGATTTTTCAAAGAATATTTTTCATCCAACATCAAACGTGGATTTTTCAAAGAATATTTTTTTGATACAACATCAAACCTATTAAACGTGGATTTTTCAAAGAATATTTTTTCATCCAACATCAGTCCAACCAAACGTGGATTTTTCAAAGAATATTTTTTCATCCAACATCAGTCCAATCAAACGTGGATTTTTCAAAGAATATTTTTTCATTCCAACATCAGTCCAACCAAACGTGGATTTTTCAAAGAATATTTTTTCATCCAACATCAGTCCAACCAAATGTGGATTTTTCAAAGAATATTTTTATACCCTAAGCCATATAAGAGGGTATATATCATTTGTTACGGCCAAAAGTGCCTCATCGAAATAAAGATTTTCTAGGTCTCTTTCGACCAAATCTGTTTCAGGACATTTGGAGTCGATTTAGCGATGTCCGTCCGTCCGTCTGTCTGGTTGGTGCGCTCGAAAATCTCGAAGGGAGTATCCGATTTGGTCCAAACTTGGTACATCGTAATGTTATTGTCAAACTTAGATCAAGTTCGGAGATGGCCAATATCGGCTCACTCCTTCTGGTACCTCCCCCACGAAATATTCAAAGAAAATATGTTACTGCATAGAATAGGAACGGATAATCTGCTTTTGCTCCAACTTTGCCAATGGTAATATTTTCAGCAGTGCTAGGTCAGGTGTGAAAATGGACGATATCGGCCCACTCTATCAATTACCTCCACCACATAGGGTCAACATTTTTGAACAATTACAACTTTTATAAAATGTGATGTAAGAATCCGATTGTCTTCAAATTTCGCGTATCCAAATATTTCTACCAAAACAAGATCTGATGTGAAGATGGAATACATCGGTCCACTCCTTCTGGTATCTCCCTCACATTTTGAGTAGCCAAAACGATTATAAAATCGGAAATAAACATCTGGTTCTCTTCATATTCCGCACATCCCATTATTTCTACTAACACACGATTTGCTGAGAAAATGGGATATATCGGTTCATTTCTTCTGGTACCTCCAGCACAAAGGGTCAAAATGTGGAATATCTTTGAAGCTCTTAAGACGTGAAATTAACATCCGTTTCCATTCAGATTTGGTACATCTCAATATTTCCATCAAAAGAAGATCTGTTAAAAAGATGGTAACGATCGGACCATTCTTTCTGGTATCTCCTCCACAAAGCGTCAACGTTTTGAATAACAAGTTCGATCATAAAATTCGAAATACGCATCCGGTTCTTTTCATATTTCATACATCCCATTATTTCTACTAACTGTGAAGATGGGATATATCGGTCCACTCCTTCTGGTACCTCACCCACAAAAGGGTCAAAATTTTCAATATTATAAAGCTCATAAAACGCAAAATTAACATCCGATTCCATTCCAGACTTGGTATATCTCAGTATTTCCATCAACACAATATCTGTTATTAAGATTATAGAGATCGGACCAATGCTTCTGGTATCTCCCTTACTAAGCATAAACGTTTTGAATATCCATGAAGCTCATAAAACGCAAAATAAACATCCGATTCCATTCAGACTTGGTACATCTCAATCTTTCTATGAACACAAGATCTATTAATAAGATGGTAGAGATCGGACCATCCCTTACCACTTTTTTTAATCGATATGTCGACCCATAATTGTAGATTTTAATGAATATTTTACATGGACTTCTAGACCCTTAATCGTGGATTTTTTATGAATATTTTTCATGGACCCCTGGATCGGTAATCGTTAATTTTTTTATTTTCCATTGACCATTAGACCTAAGATCTTAAAGTTTTATAAATATTTTTAATTGATTTTTAGATCCATAATAGTGATTTTTTATTAATAAATATATGTTTCATGGGTCTGAATATCCATAATCGTGGAATTAATTTAATAATAATACCTTTTATAGATTTTTAGACCCATAATCATGAATTTTTTAATTTTTATTTTTCATTGAACATAAAACCCATAATCGTTGATATATAGTATATAATTTCCATGGTCTTTCGGACTCAAAATGTTAGATTCTTAAAATTTATAATTTCATAGCCCTTCATGCCATTCAATAATTTCCTTTTCAATGTGGCATTTCTCTATGCATTACCTCTTGAGAGAGCTTAATTCATTGCCGAGAGAGAGAGAGAGAGTAACAAAAGCAAAATCACTCATTACAACAGGTGCAAATTGAATAACAAGAAAGTGTTTGTTTTGGGAGGGAGACAATTACCGCCGTTAGCTCAGTAAAGGTGGCCAAGAGCATGAATAGCCACCACCAACAAAATGTGTACGAGTCAGTTGATATTTACACTCGTTACGGTAAAGACGTCAATGTACGTTGCCGGTAACTATTTGTTTGAAATGCAGTGTGGCGCATGCGCACTTTAACGATTTATTTCTTTCATTAAATCAGTGGACCAATGTGCGTTTATATGCGCGGCTAAATACAAAAAAAAAAAAATGCAAAGAGTGAAATGATTAAATGTTTGAAAACAAGATGATGATGGTCACCATCTTTTATTCATAAAGTTGATAATCACTTACAAAGAGAGTAAAGAAAACAAAAAATAGAAAAGCATCTATTAAACCATAAATGCCATCGAAAGTCAGTCAACAATCAATTATCAATCACTTGGCTTTAATGATTTAAAAAAAAAGAAAAAATAAAAGTTTCAGTTGTGAATGAGTGAAGTTTGAAAAAACCAAACACAGCAACGGATGAAAAGTGATATGGGCAAATGTAAGAAATTTTTAGCAAAAGTGAAACAATGTGCAATTATAAAAAATATGTAATTATAAAAATTGAAGAAAAAAATTGAAATTATGTTGTTAAGACAAATTAAATGATAGTAGTGATAATTGGTGAATATAATCGGAGAAATTATGAAATCGGAAGGAAAGACTGGTATTTTCTTTAATTGATTGAAAAAAATTTTATGAATTTGAAATTATTGAGACCGGTATTTTCATTCCCTGTATCCGGCAATTTTTTAGTTTTTATATAAAATCGTATAATAACGAGTAGGGATCGCCACCATTGTTTTATGTGGAAAATTTGTTGTAATCATGTGGGACCGGCATAAAAAAGAGTAAAAATTTTTTCAAATAATTAAAAAAAATCAGACCATTAAAATATGAATCTTAAAAGATTTTGTTCACCTAACATCGAATCATTTAAAACAGAATTTCTTAAGAATTTTTTTTTATTATTTTATCTAATAATTTTTGAGTTTTGCAAAAAAGGGATTGCCGTTTAGGTCTTACGAAGTTAGGCCGCATGAAAAAAAAAAAAAAAATATATTTAAATATAGTTATTCAAACCAACTCAAATCTAGCCGGACAGCTTTATTAAATCAGATTCCCTATGAAGATTTCCTATAGAAAAACTCTTGTCTGTAATTGACTTTTTTAAGAATTTTTTTATAGACATTCAGACTCATAATTGTGGACATGCAACTTTAAACCCATAATCATGGATTTTGAATAAATTATACATTTTTTAATTTACATTTTCCATGAAACTTTGGACACATAATTTGTATACCCTACAACACTATGTGTTGGGGGTATTATAAGTTTGATTGGGCCAAAAATTATGTAACACCTCGAAATATTGGTTTCCAACATCGGAAAGTATATATGGATCTTCCTATCTCGCCGAGCTGAGTCGATCTAGCTTTGTATGTCCGTCCGTCTGTCCATGTTATTTGTAATCACTCTACAGGTCGCAATTATGGCTCGATCCTCACGAAATTGAAAATGGAGATGGGAATGGAGTCAAAATAGAATCCTATTGTTTTTGGAGATTATCGCAAAATATTTAGGGGTTTAAATGCTCTATAATTGCTCTACAGGTCGCAATTATAGACCAATCGACGCGGAAGTTAGCATGGGGCTAGAGTTTTGGGCTGTGCAGAAGCCTTCCAATTTGTATGATCATTTGGTAATATTTAGTGGGTGAAATAGATCACAACATTTGTGTTAAATAAAAGTCAAATTTTCCATTAAACCGCGAATATTTTTAATCCAAGCGAAATCACAAATAGACGAAAATGTCAATTCTGAACGATACGTAGATGCCGATAGTAATTTGGAAGTGAATATTTTAAAAATTTTTTCAACTTACAGCACAGGTTCAGATTGCAATTATCGTCCGATCTTCACGAAAATTTTCACAAGGGTAGAATTAGGCTCAGAAGGGCTA